ATGAATCACTATGAGTAGAATTTAAAGAAGGTACTGTGTCTATAGATGCTTCTATGTCTTAATATTCAATAAAATTATTTAACTATGTTTAGGTGATTTTGTGAGGATTAAAAACTTTGTCAAGCAATCTGCAACCTGCATCTAATCAGAGAGGTGATAATTATAAACTTTTTCTTAATTCTCCAAAAATAACAGCTATCTGAACATTCAACACTTTCAAACAGCAGCTGAGTGAATACAGAAAGAATTTCCTGGGTACAACATACTCTCTGGTAAATTAGAAGAATGATCCATTTTGCTTTTTTGTTTTCAACTTAGAATTTAATAACCTTTTGAGAAGATGGTCTGAAGCAAAAGAGTGATTAAAGACATGGAACCAGACAAGCTCAATGACCTTGAAACAGCTACTTCTCTGTCTCATTGACCCTTCATTCATGAAATGACAAAACTGATAATAAGATCCATTCATAGGGTTGGAAAGAGCATTAAATAAATTAATATACTATTTAAAGAGTTTTAAATATTTAGCATATGGCATATAGTAAGGTCTATATAATTATTTACTGTTATGAAGATGATGATAATATCCTCCAACCCAGAAATAAATGATGCAATTTCAGAAACTATCCTAACATGACTGATGTGAATATAGACTTATATATCTGTATCTATTGAGTTCTTTTTTAAAAAATTTCTTGTCAAAATTACATGACATGAGGCACATATGTGTACGCTTTCCCAGTATAACAAATATCTACTATTATTTTCTTCTTTTGCTCTCTAGACTAGACAATCTGAGGACATACCTCTTCAACTTGATCAAATAGGGGTCACTGCTGGGAGAGCCTTGATAGAGTATATCTCTAAAGATGGCCTCATCTAGCTGAGGGCAGAGTTCCAATGCCCAGAGCTGATTTCCCCAGGGAGGTCTTACTGGTTATGAAGTGTCACTAAAACTCACACCCAATAGCAAGTACAGAAAGGTTTACCATTAACCACAATGTGTTCAATTCTTCAAGTGAGCTCTTACAGAGAC